GGCCACGGGCAGACTAGGAAGCAAAGGCCTGGGGGCCCTTTTTTAAAGGAAAAAATGAAGACTGAGCTTTCTCCCCATCCTTTATCCCCAGTTTTGAAATGTCTGCGATGCAATTCATTAGGGTGAGCTTTTCAGACTTTACTGAAATTTCTAGCTCATCAGCCAAGAACATAGGAAACAGTAACTGAGGTCTCAGCTCCTGCCTTGAGAGCGTCAGCAGCCCTGTTAGCTGGCAGGCTGTCTGCCTGCTTGTGGGAAGGGGCGGGAGGCAGCCTCGTGCTGGTCAGCCTGCCCACACCCAGTGCCCGAGAGCGCTTCATGCTGCCTTCATTCCATTGCTTTCGCTTTCTTCCTTCTCTCCCTCCCTCCCTCTCTGCCTGCCTGCCTGCCTTCCTACCTTCATTTATTTTTATTTGTTCATGGGAACACCTGATTCAGGCCTGTTTTCTGTGTCAGATTCTGATACTGTAGACCTTGAAAGGCTCTCAAACCCTACTACGCCCAGATAAGAGTTATTTTCAGATCACTCCCGTTTCACGTTTACAGCGTCTCTTACAAGTTGGTTTCTAAAGCACCCTGAGTATTTTGCTTTGTGTAACCATTAAGTGACCACTTGTAGATTTACAGAGGAGATGTCTGGTGTTTGACTGACTGTAGCCTCTACCTCCAAGGTAATCCAACAGCTCCCTCCCCCACTTCGTTTCTGAACTTCTAGACTTGCTAGAAGAGAGAGGAAGCAGAGAGAGAGACAGAAAGAGAAAAGGGAAGGAATAGATGCGATGCATTTTCACATTTGACTCCCAAGGCTGGAAAGGGGATTTATCTGTCCTTCTACAGAGAAGTGAAAACATGTTTTTTTTTTCTTCCTTTTGTCAATCCAACTGATAAAGTAACCTCGTACAGCTGAGAAACAAAGTCGATTCATTACCTCAAAAAGCTACACAGACAATAGTTCCGGGAAACAGCCTTTCCAGAGTAACTTGTAGGATAAATCACTATCAAACAAAATCATTTGGAACACTAAAACTCAGATGACTTAAGAGGTCAGGACCCCTCCAGCTACATGGAAGTCTGAAAGCCAGGCACCCAGGCTCCTGAAGGTTGATCAGATGTTTCCGGGGTTTGGAGGTTAAGAAGGCTCTGGTCCCAGTGCACCCCACAGAAGAGACTTACTTGCAGGACAGCCGCACAGTTGCCCCAGGAAAATAAACAAGAGGGGCTGGGAAGCCCGCTCCCTGCCCACGCAGCCTTCCTTCACTCAAGCTTAGAGAGTCATCATTCTGAGTTAACTTTTCTTTTCTCCTCATCTTTAAAGACAAATGTACGTGTCTCCAAAGGAGAGAATTTATTCAAGTGCCCACCACAGTGTCTGGCCTGAAAGTTACTATATTATCAACATCTAATGATAATAGATCACAGTCAATGCAGGACCCCTGAGTGAGTGACCAGCCCAGCACTACGTCCGTCTCCCCTTTGGCGAGTGGGATCCTTCTTGAAGCTGGGTCAGCCCTGTGGCTAACAGATCCCTAACCCAAGAGCGGGAGCCCTGGAAAACCTGCCACCCACCACTTTTCTGGCTGTAGAGCCAGAAAAGCCTGCATTTGAGTCCAAGTTTGTTGCTTCCAGTCTTGAAGATGCTGGGCAATTGTCCACTTCTGAGGTTTGGGTTCCCCGTCTATAAACCAGCCCACAGGATTGTATGTAGAATACAATGTCTGTGAAAGGTCTGACTTGGGCCAAATATCATAACTGGTCCAATTAAAGAGTTAAACCTTACGCCTCGATGTTGACGGCAACACATACAGGAACAAGACTTGGCCTCTTAGTTTCTCTGGTTTTGACAGTTTTCTGCACCAGCAGATATCACCCCATCTCCGTTTTCCCAGAAAGGAGAGAGTTACGCAGCTTAAATGTGGTTCATCGTTTTTGGTAAATCAGGAGTCAAATTCTTAAAATTACTTGTTTGGGTTGCCTGAAGCCACCTCTGAGGGGAGGTGTGGTTTAATGGGCAGCAGCGCCCTGTCTGTCTAGACTCTGTCCTGCTCCATCTTTTAAAAGGACATGTGTCCTTTTTTTTTTTTCCATGAGTGTACAAGAATTTTGAAACTCGGCTGTAGAAGTTCATGATGATGTCCTGACTTGCATAAACGTGTAGCCATGACAAAATGGCTTTCTATTCAGTTTTAAGACCTGGTAAAATAGGAAGTTGAAATTAACCTCAGCCCTTTTATAGCTGAAACCTCAACAAATAAACAGTGGTTTGGTGGCATGGCAACCTGGCCCCCTTTTCCATCTGTACCCTGCTTCAGATCATTTGAGATGTCTATTTTGAGTGATTCTCAAGCACATCTGATTCTAGATAAATAGAGGGGTTACTCTATATCCGTGATTTTGTACTGACAGAGTTAAAGGGTCAGGCGTGACCCTGCCGATGGAGTCCTAGCGAGACAGGGCGTAGCAGCCTATCAACGCGCGATCTCTCTGAGGCCCCAAATGCTGACAGTTCCGCAGAACTAAAAACATCCATGCATCCATACAGCACCGCTGTAAAACTGCTCTGACTACTCTGGGGATATTTTTCTTCCAATTACTGCTGCCATTTCAAAGAGAGCCATAAACACGTGCTGAATTTTTATATAAAAGCATCTTCTTAAATATAATATAGAAGCTCTGGCGCTAAGCTGGGAAAATAACCATTTTCCTACCAGCGAAGAACAAAATGAAGGTTCTGGCTGAAAGAGACTTTACTGTTATCCCTGTTAACTTTCTAATTTCAGGGAAAAAAATCCCAAGGGTCTACTCAAACCAAGACGAGGGTAAAAAACTATTTTCTTAAGGAAAAAAAGAAAGAAAGAAGGAAAAGTAGTTTTACATGAAAATATCCCAGATACTGATTGTTTAAAACTTGTTCCTATAATTTTACAAGTCCTGAACAGCAAATCGTATTTCAGAAAGAAAGAACATCCACAAAATAGTTAACACATTCTTTCAAATAAGAGCTAAGCCTCCGGGGCGCTCTAAAAGCAAGTTATTATTACTTAGAATTAGATGTTGCAGAAGTAAAAAGTTTTTAAAAGGAACAAGAAAGGGGGTTAAACCTGATACTTTGCTAAGCGCACAGTATTCCAAAGAGCTGAGGAATGCCCGTCCATAGCAGTGCCCCCGCCCGGGAGCTGCTGACGGCTGAGGACAAGAATTCAACACCTCCATACTCCCCCCAATCCCAACCCCGCCGTTTTCTCGTTTTCTTTTTGGTAAAGACAGTGTATCTGATCAGGAGGGAAATCAGATCTGATTCACTCCTCAGCAAAACTGAAAGCAAGCCGATTTAATGGTGACGATTTCAACTTGCCCCTCCCTGTGTGGCTGAATTTTCCACTGCCTTTGAAAATGCTGAAAATGTTTGGTCCTGATACCAGGAGAAAAAGACAAGTCCCTGTATCGACCCAGTAGTGTAAATGGTCAGTTACGCCATGAGAAAATCAGAAAACAGAAGTCTCCCCTTGGATGGTACAAATGGAGGCCTGAAGATGACATAAATGAGTCTAAATGGCCCTCAACACAAGATCCGGCCATCTCCTGGAGAATATTATTCTATTTAGAAGAAAAGTATCATTTCCCCCCCACCCCCCACCAGCCCAGCTCTCTCACTTAATGTGCCATGTGATCTAATTTCTCATACACACTTGTGGTTTGGAATTTTTAAAAATCAATATGCAGATGTTGAATAAGTATGCATAACGAAGCACCAGGAAACCAATGATTTCATGGGACCTCTTCTTAAAGACACCTAAGATGAGACCATAGGTGAGATGCAGACCCCAAAATCAAGCTTTAGGTTTCTGCTTGTCCACAAAAGGGCGACTCTACAGCTAGGCCACCTGGCAGCTGTGTGCACAGTATCTTTTGGGGAGGATTTCTTTGGAAAGTTTCCACTCAAATAAAAGAACCTCCCCTAGAAACATGAGAAAGAGTGGCGTGGGCCGTGGGCTCCAAGGAAGAGAGTGGGCCTGCCTTTCGAGAGCCCCACATGTGCTGACCCCAAAAGAGAGCTACTGGCCTGGGAACGCTCGAGGATTTAGGATGCTTGCACATCTCACAACCCAACGCGAACAAAGAAAACGCTCGGGGTAGCTCGTTTCTGCTGTCCCAGCAGGGCAAGGAGCACTTCCCTCGCTGGCCACCTGCCCTTTCCCCCAGATGTGTTCCTTATCTTTTCCTTTGAGTTAAACAAGGCTTCTCCTTTGAGAAAGGAATCTTACTGTGACCCTGTCATACACAGCTGTGTCCTGCACGGCACCGAGGAAACGGCTGCATTTCGGAAATTTGAAATGGTATCACAGAGCAAATAATCACTGACGTCAGTGCTTTCCACAGTGTAAATGAACTCTGTGTATCATCTAATTTGGCACAGTGGGTTTTATGCAATTATTGTATTTTACAGTGTTTTTGCAATTGCCAGTTAGCCCCATGGTTGGGGGGTGGGTAACCTGCATTCTTTATTGAATGCAAATTCATTTGCTGCAGTTAATACCTTTGATGTGATGGCATCCAGACACTCCCTACTATTTCTTTATATTAAAAAAAAAGTATTAAATACAAACCCCCCAAATAATTTGTAGACAGTAAAAACTGGAAACATCCTGACCTTCGCCTTGCTTGATGTATGTGTGTGTGTGTTCAAGCCAAGCAAGTGAGAAAATAGCACAACCAAAACTAACTCTTAAAAAATTCAAGATATTATCTACGTAGTGATTTCTATCTGTCCGTATCCTCTCAGTATCCTGTGCAGCAGTGCCTCTCAGTCTGGGGATCTTGCTACAAAGCAAATCTGACTCAGTAAGTGAGTAGGTCTGGGGCGGGCCGGAGACCCTGCTGTCAACCAGCTCCCAAGCTGCTGGTCCAGGGACCACCCTTTTTGAGTTTGGAGAAGCCACAATGGGTCTGGGTGGGTTCTGCCCAAGGGTGAGGCGGGAAGTGGGCTCCATCCAGGTACTTACCCTGCATCTGACTCTGAGGCTGAGGGTTAAAGGCAGTGGAGTGGTTCAAGGAGGCCCGAGGGTTGGGTGTGGGGGCTGGGTGGTGTGGGCTGACCCTCATGGCCGTGCGCCGCAGCTGCTCCAACTCACTGAGCCGCTCGGAAAAGGACAAGCTCCCGGGCTTGGTCTGATCATCTAGTTTCTGACGATGTCCTAGTGTGGGGAGGGAGGTGGGGAGGGGAGGGGGAGGCAAGGAAGGAGGGAGGGAAGAGATCAGAAAATGTATTGTGGATTTTCTAAAATTCGGGCTTTCTCGTCTTCCCCCTCCCTCTCCCCTCACCCGCAATGAGGATCTGCTGGAGATTTATACATTTGGCGGCTCCCGCTGGGAATTTGGGCCATTGTCTCCACAGCAGACTGGGGCGGGGCCCCTTTGGTCACACTGGCCACTGGGTACTCCCTGGTCTGGGCCCCGGCACCCACCCCAACCCTCTGCCCCCATCTCCACTGGGCGAACGCAGTGGGCACACAGGGCTTGGTGGCGGTGGTGACAGCGGGAGGGACAGAGAGCACATTAATTGTTGGCACTTGGCCACATGCTGTGGCCTAAGCTATGGCGGCTAGGAAAGGAGCCTGGCCGCTGGCATCAGCACAGCTGCCCCTGACCACACACTCAACCACTGGCAGGTTTCAGAGGCAGCAAAGCGGGCCCCGGAGCTTAGCAGGCGTGCCCCTGCCAGCAGGAAGTGAGGTGTGGCTGCAAACCCACAGCCCCGGGGAGGTCAGATTTCCTGGTAATTGCAGGGCACAGGCAGCCCCTCGGCCCCTCTCCCTCTCCTCTCCTAGCACACTTGGCGTGGGCATTCTTTCTTCCCTGAAGCCGACTTCCCCAGATGCGGCCCCCACCCCCAACAAAGGGGTGCAGCCTCAGCCTTGTCCAGTCCAAGATTCCCAGCAGGCTGGGCCCGCTGGAGCCCAGAGGGAGCTGCCAGGAGACTGGACAAGCTTCCCCAGGAGGCTAAGGAGTCCGAGGTGGGGAGGGGGGGCCCCTTGGCATCTCTACGGACAGTAAGTGTCTTCGCCTCAGTCCTCATCAAACTCGCTGTCCCCAGGATGCAGCGAGCAGAGGTCATTCACCCGGGAAGGGTCTCCTGTTTCCTCCCTTAATCCTTCATCAAAATGTCTTTAAACCAGAGACTCAGGCCTGTCCAGCCGAGCTGAGGCTCTGATGTGCTGATGTAGCCTTGGAGATGTGTTTGCGGTGGGGGAGGATCGAACGAGTCATTCCTCTTTTAAGAGAGGACTGCCCTCCTGCTCCCGCCTCACCCCCGTGGTTCCAAGGGAGTCACTGACCAATTTCACAACCCCCCACGATTGTCAAGTGGCCTCAAAACAAGACTGGAGAAGCAGCCTCCTTGCTGTGACACTCAAGTGCCCTTTCACACTCCAGACCCACTCCTCAGTGACAAAGAGGATTGCCCGGGGTGGGAGTGGGGGTGGGAGCAGTGCATTTTAGCCCAGCTCCCAATCGCTACAATTATACAAATTAAATTTTATAACTTGTGTTACGGTTCCAAATCTCCGTGGCTTGCCGTCTCTTCCTGCTGCCGGGCCCCTTGGCACAGCTGCCACTGTCTCAAATTCCAGACCAGAAAAAGGACCCACTCTACTGCAGTGATTTTATCATGAACAAGACCTGCTTGGCTCTGAAACGAGGAAAAATACTTAAGCATAATATTTGTGTAGTTCAAATGCAACGCTCTCTCTTTTCATGTGTCACCGAGGCAAATCTGGACCCTGATTCAGCCCTGCAGCTCACAGCACCGGTCTGAACACAGGCAGCCTGAGTCATACGGGCCCTGCACACGTGTGAGAGGCCTCTTACCGGCTGAGTATTTTTAAGCACTGGCCTTATGGGCGAAAGGCCATGGGGCCAGGTCCTGGAACAACCTCTGTCATCCCTTTCCCTCAGAAGTACGAAAACATCTTTTTCTAGAACATTCTATTTCTGTCCGTCATGGAGTCATTCGGTGTCTCTGGATCGAGCTTGCCTTGACTCCTCCGTCCTCTTATCTCTCTGACCTGTTCTCGGCTTCCTGATGGTCAGGCTGAAAAAATCTGAAGTTTTCTTGTAGAAAAGCCAACAATTCCAACTCAAAAGCCACCCCAAGCGTAGTAATCCAGCCCCGTCGGTGCCTACCACGACTTAGCGCCTGGCATTAGGAGTCCAGAAGGAGAGGAGAAGGCAGGGAAAGTGAGTCAGGGAAGTTCTACCACCTCAGAAAGAATGCCAGTGGGCGAAATCAGGGTGCGGAGGCTTCTGGCAGGTTTTGTACCCATTTCAAGACTTCACATTCCTTGGGCACCCGGTGGCATTTTTTAAGAACACTGTGTCAAGGACAGTGGGTGATCCCGGGGAATGATGTGTACCAGATCATTCTGAACACATGGCATTCGGTGTTTTGGAGTCCACAGCCAGCCTTTGAAGAGGGGCCTTCAGTTGTGTCTGCCTCAGCCACCAAGCTTGGGGACCACGTGCCACCGAGTAACCAAACAGGAATAAGTCATTTCAGGTAAGCCATTATGTGGCCAGGCATAATGTGAGGGTTATTTTTTTATTAGACCCTCTGATTGCCTTATGCTTAAAAAAAAATAGTTTCAACATGTGAGCAATTTCTGCACCAGCTGACACCTGCCAAAATCGTAGTCATTTACAGAGATTAACTGATGACTGTCTGCTTGAGCAGGAATGTTTGGGCATAGCTCTCCGAGAAAACAATTCTTCACTCTAAGCTATTTCCTAAGCCCCGAGAGTCGCAGGGCTGAGTATAATGCCGGAGGAGGGGGTGAGAGTTCATTCCACACCCTCCCCATGTGTGATCCTGGGACTCAGTAAGAGTGTTATGGCCCTAACAGGGAACCTTGAGCCCCTTCCTCACAGCGAGTGCTCGAGAGAGTCCTAACACCAAGGCATGAGGGGGAAATAAAAAGCATTATTATATTAAAGGTGTGGTTCTGATGCATTTATAAGTTAGATCAAAGGAAGACCTAAGTCTTTTTTTCTGAAACCGTCAGATTTCACGTGCCAAAGAGCAATATTCTGTGTGAAATATAGAAGCTTCCGATACAAACTTTCAAGCCAGGGAAAATGAGTGCTTTATGTCTTCAGTTTCCTGTATCTGTGCAATTAAAATGTCAATTTGCCCCCTGAATTTTAAATACAAGAGTATGGAAAAAGTCTACAATCAAATTCACTTTTCTTCTTTCTTACTGAGCACTGGGCTTTCGAGGGCAACAGGGAATTCAACCCTGGATCAACCCTCTGGTGGAATGATGTGACGTGGCCTCAGACATACCCACGCGGGCTGCCCAGCCTTTTGAACATGCTGGCCGTCAACAGTGAATGCTTCCACGGCGCTCCTGAAAACAGTGGCTGCCTCAAGGCTTCATACTAGGATGACTTACTGACTCTTCAGCAAAGTTTAAAAGGATCCTAAATTATGCTTCTCTGTTACTATTTTCACATTTAAATTTTTTTAAATTTATTTTTTGTTTTTTTGAGGGGGAGGTGATTAGGTTTTCTTATTTATTTACCTTTTTGAGAGGAGGCACTGGGGATTGAACCCAGGACCTTGTGTGTGCTAAGCACACGCTCTACCACTTGAGCTCTACCTTCCCTCCCTGTTTTCACATTTTTGAAAAAAGTCCTTGATTAGAATTTCATATATACACACAACTACACAAAGCCAAAGGAAAACAAAAAGAATAAAAATAAACGAATCCCATCTGCTAAATTTTATTCTTCATTCCAAAGATATACATCCTAAAATCTTCCAGAATGGGTACCCACAGGGCCTCCCCGAACATTAGGGTTTTGTGGTGGATAATGAGACCAGCTTTCAGTTCTCTGCTGTAAAAACTAGACTGAGTAGGTATGCAAGTCTCGTTGACAACTCAAGTGTCCTTTTCAAGAAACCATTGTTGATCTGTGGCTGTTAGTAACTGAAATACAATACCGAGTCTCCATATGTCCCGACAGATCCATCCTAAATCAAAAATATCATAAGCTCAAAATGCATTTAAAACACCTAACCTACGGAACATTCTAGCTCAGCCTCATCTACCTTAAATGTTCTCAGAACACTTACGTTAGCCTACAGTTGGGTAAAATCATTGAACACAAAGCCGATTTTATAATCAAATGTTGACTATCTCAGGGAATGTGTTGAATACCGCACTGAAAGTGAAAGGCAGAGCGGTGGGCACAGGACGTGTACCAGCTGCTGACCCCTGAGATAGCGTGGCATCCCGCACGCATCATGTCCCGTATCCCTGGTCCACGAAAAGAACAAAATTCAAAATTTGAAGTATGGTTTCTACTGAATATATGTCGCTTTCACACCATCTTAAAGTCAAAAGATTTTAAGTCGAACCATCCTAAATCGGGGACTGTCTGTACATGATCTTCTAGCAGAGAAAACAGGTGAGGCTAAGGTATCACCTTTTTGTGGAAAGTTCTGAGTAGAGAGAATAATTTTCCTATAGTCAACACATTAGCGTGTGTTTCTGATATGGGTTTACTAGTTTTCTTGATAGCGCCTCAGCAGAAAAGTTAGAAAAGTTGTATACTCAAATCACTGCCATGACGAGCAGTTGAGAAAAATCTATGCAAAACGGTAAGACCAAAAAGGTATCTGTCTATTTATATGTGTGTACAGCTCTGTGTCTGTCTATCACACTGTGGTTCCTCTAAAAGGATGTATGTTTTTCAAAAGATGTTTGCCAGTCTGACACTAATGACATGGATTTAGATATAAAAACATTGATATGTCTTTCCTTGATTTGCTATTCTTTAGGACTGTGGAAAAGAAACAGATGTGTGTAGAGAACAGCTCATTTTTCCTGACATAAGACTCTAACCTTTGGGTTCCAGGGTCATTAAAGTCATTAGGACTTTAAAACAACGATATTGAACATGAATGTGGTCCTTCCTCAAAGCACCTTGCAGGTGGTGAAATAAACCTTCTAACTGCAAACCTCTCCTTCCACTGGCCAATCGCATGTTGGGAATACTGTCCTGTACTATATATATTGTGTATAGATTATAAACGCTCTATAATGTGATATAAATATATGCTATATATGTTAATATATCATGGATTTAGAGTAGATATTATCGTCCAATGTTACAGAAATGTGGGTAGCCTAACTTT